CCCAGTGAAAAACTCTTGCCCAAGCTCCAGATGCTCTCAGGCATCTCAAACTCAGCACAGACAAAAACTAAACTATTTTTCCTTCTGGGACAAAAGAAAAAGATAAATGTAAGAAAGATTCTGAGATCATATTAAGGAAAAGCAAATAGAAATTAAGTCAGAACAATGGCAGAAAGTTTTCAGTGATATCTTTAGGTACAGTTTTAGTATTTTGTATTTCTCCTTGAAGTGAATAGCAGTAAAACTTTAATGCTGTGCTTCTTGGGCTGGGCTACACAGTAGTGTGTCAAGGTATGTGTGAAGCCACAGTGTAAACAAGCTCAGCTTCCTAGAGCATCGACTTTGACAGAAAGCTTGTATGTGTGTAATTTACAATATTTAACTTGTAAGAATGAAAACCGTTTTTTTATATGAAACATATATTATGGGACAGAGTGTAAAATGTCAGAAAAGTTTAAACTTCTTTCCTCAAAATATAAGCACACAGACCATTTCTATTAAGGCAGCTCAAATTTAACTACCAAATTCATGTCCCAGGGTCAGAAGAGAGCTATAATATGCCCACGCATTTAAGGGCATAGAGAGGAAAAGCCTAAGGGTACAGACATTACCCAGCAGTGAACAATGGACAACCAGCATTGCAGGAAGTTCTTTTTCAGATGAAGTGGGAGGAAACCGGGGCAGGGAGGAATTACTGAGCCCAACCAAAATGCAGAGCTAGGCTGACAAACTTAGTACAACACACTGATTCAGTCAACAGACATTTATAGATGTCCATTTTGTCCCACATTCTTTATTGTGTGGCACCAGAGTAAATTAGATGTGTCCCCCCACCCCCAAGGAGTTCACTATCTAGTAATGGGTGCTGAACAATGTAATTGTGCCATCGCTACAATGAAGGATGTTCAGCATGAAACTGGACCATGGGAAACATGCCTAGCTTCGACTGGGGAAATTCAGAGAATACTTCACAAAAGAGGCATCATTTCAAGCTTTTGGCTAAAACTTGGAAAATGTATAGGTGTCTTCTGCCTGTAGGTTGGCTAGAAATATTTCAGGAAGTTGGGATATGAAATGTGTGGGAAATGAATTAGACACACACATTCTTTAGTAAAAGGCGAAAGATTTATGCGATCTGAAGAGAAACCAGAGCATAGACACACACATTCTTGACAGTCATCATGAGCATGTAAATCCCTGGAGAGCCCATTTCTTTAGTCTTGGTATACTCAGCAGTGTAGCTGAGCACTGTCACTGTATAGTACCATGTTTATTGGTTTTGTAAAGTTCAGCTAGATTTGAATATGGACATGGCTTACTCCTCCTTACTTAATAAACATATATTGAGCACCTATGATGAATTTGGTCCTATGGTAGAAATAGAGTTATCCAGAAGATTGAGTCCTAGGTTCCTGGCTTTGGGAGCTCAGCTGAATGGAGTCAGTGAAGCAGACAAGCACTTGTAGGACAGTGTGATGATGCTCTAATAGGCATATGCCCAGAGGACTGTAACTGCACTCAGGTGGGGACCTGGCCCTATTTGGCGGGTTGTGTGAAGTTTTGAGGTAGCCTCAAAAAAGTGATTTCTGAGGAGAGAATCGAATGATAAGTAAGAGGTAATGTGACGTAGGGCAAGATATACTAGAGGCAACCTCATGTACAAAGGTCTGATATGTTTAGAGAAGAAGTAGTTTCCTATGAAGGGTGGCAGCAAATAATGGTGGAAGAGGCTGAGAGGTGGCTGTGCCAGGCCATAGAATGCCTTTCTGTCATGAGAAAAATCTGGATTTTATACAGCAAGGGCAACGGTGAGTCACTGTAATAATGGTTCAGATCAGTGTTTTTCAAAGAGCAGCTTGTAATCCATTAGTCAGTTGTAAAATTATTTTGGTGAATTGGGATTGGCATTTAAAAAATAGTAACTAGAAAAGAGTTGACAGTATTAGTGTGCATATTTGTTAAGGTAAATAATGTTTTGTGATGCTTTTGTTTCAATTACATATATGTGAATAGTGTTCTAATGTAAAGAATTTTTTGATCTGTGGGTTTTGAGAAACACTAAAGGTTCAGTGGCACAAATTAATACCTCAGATTATTTTGTAGCAATTAACAGAAAACCCAGTGCAAGTGGGAATAATCACTAAAGATTATTACTATAGAGTTTCTTCTAGTTATTCTGACCTCACATTCTGTGTCATCTTCAAACTAAGAGCCATCTTCCTTATGGCTCTCAGAATAACATGCTACCTTATTCTTATCGTCAAGTAGACACCAGATTCTTATTGCTTCAAATTAGTTTAGGCCTGTCCATCCCTGAACCCATTAAGGGCAAGGGGATAGAAATACTAGGACTCCCTTAGACTAATGAATGTTTGGGAACTAATTGCTGTAGCTGTAGGGAACTATGATGCAATGTGGCAAATTCAGTGCATTATGGAAATACTGTAGCAGGACACAGGTTTACAAAGTAATGAATTTAGGTGTGGGGATGGTCAGAGGAGCCACCCAGGTGCCAAAAGTCTGTGTATAAGTTGGGTAGATGAAAGGGGGAGAGTTCTCTGGGTGATAGAGACTGCATGAACAAAAGGTGATAAGGGGAGCTGTGTATAGGAAAAGTCAAAATAAGGACTTCCGCACTTCCTGAGCATAAAATTAGAGGCAGGGAAGTAAATGGAGTAGTGAACAGATGCCTAGTCACCAAGGGGATCATGGTAAGGAACCAGGATTCTTTCCCCATAGGAAAGAAGGACGCACTGGAGATCATCAAGCAGAGAATTAAGACATGAGATTTCTATTACTTCATCTGCAGTGTGGAGGGAGGAAAGTTAGGAGGCTTTTGCAGTAATCCAGGATAGAGATGTCTTGGATTTCAGGCTAGGGAGAGGTGACTGCAGATTTGAGAAACGTTATGGAAAGAAAACCAAGACTTGCTCATTTCACTGTAGAGTGAGTGTAAGTAAACAGTGCCTGGCTTTTGCAGTTGTCTCCTTTGGATATTGGGCTTATATTGTGTCACTGATTTGTTGAGGCTGGAGTAAATGTTATTTTTTGAAGGAAGTGGACATAGCTGTCAACCTTGCCATAAAGAACCAGAACCCGAGACAGAGAACCTTTGGTACTCCAGTGTATCTGGGCCCCTCTTGCGGGGGGTTGGAATCTATTAAAGAGGTGCTTAGATGGATTTGAGGGCATAGTGCACTCAAGTGAAAAGTTACCATTTATAGGCCAGATTAGAAAACTGATACATTGTTGTGTATTTCCCTTATGCTATCCCTGAGCCTCTAGTAAACATTTTAGGACTCATGTAGTCTTTTATGGGCCAAAATATTAAAGATGCAGTGTCCCATGAGGCCATTGTGGCAGAAGTGATTCTTTAGATTGTGAGCTCCTTAATGGCAAAGGTTGTTTCTTCTCATCTCTAGATCCTTAGTATCTAGCCTAGGGCCTGACATACGCCAAACACTTGATAAAGATTGTATCCCTAGTGACTAAAATGATGCTAGATACTAGCAGATGCTTATTAAGCATTTAAGGAACTGTTGAAAGCCCCAAAGGGAGGTCTGTTTCTGGGGACTAAGGAAAAGCTATGAGAGTTGAGCCATAACCCACCTATGGTAATACTTAACAGATGTAGTTTTAATTTTAAAGAGTACTTTCTCGGGGTGCCTGGGTGGCTCAGTCAGTTATGACCCCTTCAGCTCGGGTCATGATCCCAGTGTCCTGGGATTGAGCCCCGCACTGGGCTCCCTGCTCTGCGGGGAGCCCGCTTCTCCCTCTCCTCCCTGCTTGTACTCTCTCGCTGTCTCTCCTCTCTCTCAAATAAATAAATAAAATCTTAAAAAAAAAAAAAAAAAAGAAAGAAAGTACTTTCTCTAGGAGTCAGGGATGACTCCCGAGATATCTAGCTGAGGTGAATGTTCATGCCAAGAGGACAGGAAGGGGGTGAATTTTGGGGAAGCATTCAGAATTGTAGGTTTATTGAATAAATGCTTTGAGTGTCTACTATATGTCACTCAAAATACGTCAGAAAGAACTTTCTGGCAATAGCGTGAAGGACAAATTAGAGGGAAAGAGATGGGAGAATCCTGTTGGGAGCAGATGAATCTTAAGACTCAAGCAGCTGCAGTGAAAGAGAACAGAATAGCTCTGTCCCTGAAGCTAATATCTACCTGCTAGACCAGTGACCCCTTCCACCCTCACCCTTACTTTCTGACAATGGTTGGGTTTAGCAGGCCAAATAAACTCTGAAGGTCCAGCCTAAGATAAAATCTCTTCTTTTCACTGTACTAGAGATATGGGAACTGTCAGGCCTTGCTGCCAAGTGTGCAGGCAGGGATGATAGTTCCAAGTCTTTCATGACTACTACCCTAGTCAAACCTCTGAGTCTGAGGCATGGGCAGCCTGGCTGGGCTAAGTCTGGCATCACAATAATTAGTGGATATCAAGGAACTTCCTACTTCTCATATGCTCTGGCCATTCTGAAGCCGGATTTCCCTTTTCTGAGTTCCCAGAGAAGCCCAGTTTTGACAACAATAAAAACTTCCAGGACATTCCCAGCACATTTAACTTCCTAACCCTCCTCCCACCTCAACTCTCTCTTTATTACCCCACCCCCCACTCCCACTCCAAGAGGAAGGAGCTTATCCTTTACTGAATACTTCCACCCCCTCGGCCAGGAAGGTGGTACATCTGAGCTCTCAGATCCTCTCCTCTGAGGCCTATGTGGGGCTGAGGGGAGCACATGAGGGTAATATGTGATCCTGCCTAGAAACAGAGGAATAGCTGTAGTGTTCCTTGAAGTTTCCTAAGGTACCAGATTATTATGGAAGATTCAATTCTAGATGTTCAGTCTCCTAGCCTGTCAGGAAGTAATCTTTCTCTAAGAAATCCCAGGGGCTCAGTCTCTATGCTAGATGTCAAAAATCAATCACCTTTGGAGGCCAGTTTGGAATTATAGGATAAAAGCGCCATGAAAACTGGCATTAAGAAAAACAAAACTGCTAACCAAACACAACCCAGAATAAGAGCCAGAAACATAAGCAGATGAATTTACTAACCCACGGAGACTGAACATTTGGATAGTTCTCATTCTCCAGAAATCCCAAGGGCAGAAAAAAAACAAACCCATATACATACATATATTCATACAAAGAATTTTATCTACTGCAAAAAGATGATTATCTGGCTCCCCAGAAGCTTCTTGTCTCCATTAAAACTGTCCATTAACAACTCTAGCTCCAGTTCTTCTTAGAGATTAAAAGAGCTCCAAAGGCCTGTGATCACGGGCATTGATGATTGTGCCACACACCCTCTGGCTCCAGTTAAATCCCTGGTGTTTCAGCTGTGTGGGAGCTGTGGATGTTTGCTTTCTGGTCCTGCCGCAACCCTTGAAGCAGCTGGTTTAGAAGTGTAAGGTTGCTGTCTCTGCGAGGCAGGGGCAGGGGTGGGAGGCAGTTCCCTTTATACTCGATCACTGCCATCTTGGCCCGATCCTGCTTACTCCGATTTGGGATCTGCAGCATTCTTGTGTAGCCCCCATTCTGACCTTGGTACCGAGGGGCCAGTACTTGAAACAATTTTGGGATCAAGTCTTTCTCCTAGAGGGGGAGAGTTATCCAGGTGAGAGCAGAATCAGGCACCACTGCGGAGACACATTTAACTTTCAGCACTTCCAAAAGTAGGGTCCAAACACATTCACACAAAACTCTCCCATCCCCTAATGTGGTAGAGTCAAAGTTACACAGAGGGGTTACAGGCAATTGGGCAGGCTGATTCACCTAACATTCAACTAACTTAAGTCACACGTTTCTAATTTAGTTCACAACATTTGTCTGTAAGTGAGTGTCTTAGCTTAATTCTGCCCAGTTACCCCTTTCTCTAACAACCCCCTCCCCCCCAGGGAGCAAAAAATGAGATTTGGGAGGGAGATACGATGCACTCACCGTAAGCCAGAAGTCAGCCATGCGCATGGCTTGTTCGTTGGTGTCTCCCAGCTTCCCATAGTCGATGAGCTGAGGGCACATAACATCACTGATCCAACCCGAGTGAGAAAGGAGGCGCAATCTTACTTCTCTAATGCGGGACCGCAACCCATTCATTCCACCAGCAAAGCATCCCTCTAATTAGGCCACTCCTAACTCCGCAGCTCTAACCAGTCGTCCATTTGAGGGGCCGGAGGAGAGGGGTCAACTCAGGGTACTAGGGGATTCAGACTTTGGGCGGGGATTGCCACGGTATCTCACTCGTCCCCCAAGTCCAGCCGCATCTCAGGCCAGATGCTCTTGGACAGAAGGGTCCCGCCCCCAACTCACTCGCCTTGCGTGGCCCCGCCCCTCACCTTCTCGGCATAGCCCCTCATTTCGTCCACGCGCGCCCATGACGCCTCGATGCGTTCGTGTCGCACCAGGCCGGTAAGCAAGTTCCGCAACAGGTGGATGCGGGACTCCGGACCAAGGCCCAGACGGCGGAATACACGGCCATGGGAGATGGCGGCGGCGACGGACAGCCGCATATTTCCAACTTCTCTCCGCCCCTGTGAGGCCGGAACTGGAAACTCGAAGGGAGACGCCGAGGAGACGGCTTTGGGAGGACGCATGCGCCTTACCTAGGTGCGTGGTGGACGTGTTTGCGCATGAGTATCAGAGCCTGCCTCGTTGGCAACCTGGGGGAGGGCGGAGAAGAGGTGTTGGCTTCTTCCAGAGGAGGCGAGTGGGGCGGGCCTCGGGCACTCCTTGTCGCTCCGGGGAACTAGGCGCCCCCTAGTGTGGGACGAAGCGGCCGTCGAATTTCTCTTGTGCTGCGTCAGTCATCTTGTGGCCTCTAGGACGACAGGAAGCGCCACGGAGCCTGCTGGGAAAGTGAGTATCTGAGGGGAAGACCCCCCCCCCACTTCCGCGGAGGAGCCGAGGCGCTGTAGCCTGCGGCCCTGCCAAGCCCGAGCGGTGGCGAGCCCGCGTGTCTGACACCCTGAGCATGTCTGTTTGTCACAAAATTATTTCCCGTAATAATGGGGAAATGAATAACAGTGATGCTCAGAAAAGCGCAGTTAACTGAACATTTTCTTTTGTTGAAGTACATATAGTAACCATCCCAGTTAGAAAGTACAGCAAAGGAAAAGTAATGGGTTAATACTTTTTAATTACATCCGTGTATTTTTTTTTAAAAGGTGAGAAACATACCCATGCATTTGTGTTCATGTGCAGTAGCGTTCTAGTTTCTGTTTTTGAGTCTTAATGTCTGCAAATTGGCGGACACTTTGCAATCACTTTGTCAAAATTACTCCTTGTTGTGGGTTGAATTGTGTCTTCCCCTGCCCCACCCCCAGAAAGATATGTTAAGCCCAAACCCCTCCCAACCTCCACCGCACTCCCCTCAGAATATGACCTTATTTGGAAATAGGATTATTGCAGTTGCAATTAATTATTAAGATGAGGTCATACCGGAGTAGAGTGGGCATCTAATCCAAATGACTGGTGTCCTCAAAAAAACCAAAAACGAAAAAACAAAAAAACCACAAGTGGAGAGACAAACACACAGAGTGAAGACAACCATGTGAAGACTAGAGACACACAGGGAGAATGCCACGTGACCAAGAAGTCAGAGATCCCAGTTAGGCAGTTGGGAGCCAAGGATCGCCAAGGATTTCTGGCAGACACCTGAAACTAAGAGAAAGACATCGAACAAAATTTTCCCTAGATCCTTGAAAGAATTCATGGCCCAGCTGTCACATTGATTTTGGACTTCCAGTCTTCAGGACTATGAGACGATAAATTGTAGAGCAGTGTATTAGTCTCCTAGGATTTTAGGAGACTAATAACATATTCATGTTCAGTAGATAGCACACTTAAATTTGTCACTCTGTCCTCACTCATAGGTAACCAAAGAACACTTCTTGTTAATTTTAATTTTGAAAAGTTTCTTTTGTCTGAAGTAGTTAGGAAAAGTCTTAAACATATGGCTATGTTGGCATAGATTTATACAAATCCTGTTTCACAATAAATTCCGGAAATTATAATATTGTTTGTGTCTTATTTCTTTGGGATCAATTCTTGCAGCTTTCAGGATTTCCACAATTGAAAATTCATCATAAATTCCTAGTGGTAAAATCTTGTGAAGATTTTCTTCAGCTAAAGTCAAGAGGATGAACTGACACTGTGACATTATTTGATGCATTGCTTTAGAAGAAATGTCCACTTTGTGAAAACGTACAGCATCAAACATTGTCCTTAATTATTTTTGTCCATGAAAGCCATCATCTCTTGTCTCTTCTGGCAGTCCTCAAATTTTGATTCTTTTTTTCTGTCAATTTCCTTACGTTTTGTTGTTGCATAGTTATATCTTCACAATTTCTGTGAGCTGGTATTCATGGGACAATTTTAAACCTTGGTGTTTTACTGTGTGTTGTTCAAGGCTTATTCTGGTGGTTTGCAGATATTTTTGTGTCTGATTGACCTCATCTGATACGTTACCTTAATAAAAAAAAATAACTTGGAAAAAATCTTGTGCAACTAAAATTGTTTATTTTAAATTTACTGTTTTAAAAGTAGGGCTATGTTCTGCTAGAAAGGTTAGAGTCCAAAATGCACCAGAAGTGAATTTGGAAGATCATAAATTCTTATGAATTTACCGTGAAAAGTAATGTATGTGGCCGAATTTGTGTAATTGATATTTCCTCAAATTTACTTTTCATGTAGAATAAAATATTTGTTAGTGAATTAGTTTAAAAAGTGATAATTTGAAGCCTACATAGATATTATAACTCAGCAGTAAGCATAACAACTAGAATTTAGACCAAAAAAAGATTTTTATGTGAGGGTTATTGTATCACTAACACTGTTTAGCATTGTTGTGTAAGGTGATAAAAATCAGGTTGACTTTTGGTTAGTTTTATTACTTTTTTTTTTAAGATTTTATTTATTTATTTGAGAGAGCATGCACATGGGTGGTGGAGGGATGGGGGAGAAGCAGACTCCCTGCTGAGCAGGGATCCAGACCTGGGGCTTAATCCCAAGGTCCTGGGGTTATGACCTGAACCGAAGGCAGATGCTTAACCCACTGAGCCACCTAGGTGCCCCTAGTTTTATTACTATTTTAAAATCCTTTACACATAGTTCACCTCGTTATGGTTTCAGAAGGGCAGATTGCTGCCACCTCCCCACCAGATACCAGATGGTTCTGAGTGTCCAGCTGAGCCTCCAAGGAAGGTACTCAGATGAATCTGAGTATTCTGGGTGAGCCAGGACTTGGAGTAACTCTGTTGAGAGTCCAAGTTGAGCCCCTGAGGCGGTGTTGGTAGTGACTGTAGCTAGTCGGGCAGAGGTGAGGAAAGTTGTCCTAAGCAGTGTTGTGCAGCAGCCGAAGAAGAAAGACCCCAATCTACAGAAAATTGTTACACATGAAATTTCATAGCTTCTGCTGGAAGAAGGGGGTTGGACTTGGTGCACACTACTGCAGAGAACCCTATTGTGATGTTGTGATATAATTGTGTGTGTGTGTGTGTGTGTGTGTGTGTAGTCTTTGTCCAGGTTCCTGTCACAGAGTGAACATTTCCTGAGTGATGGGAATGAGAGTGTCTTTTGTCATCATAAAAGCCCCTTTCAACCATACCTGAGTTTATGCTAATGAGGTGTCTCTTGGAGGAGGGGGGCTGGTTAACAGAGGAACTAACCACGTGATTAGAGTGATTAGAGGGTTCGTGCTTTCCCTTCCTCTGGGGAGGTTGGAGATTGACCTAATCACCAGTGTCCAATGATTTAGTCAATTGTGCCTGCATAAGACCCCTAAACAATGGGGTTTGGGGAGCTTCTGGGTTGGTGAGTGCATTGAAGTGCCTGGAAGTTTAGCATGTGCCCAGAGAGGGCATGGAAGTTCTGCACCCCTTCCTACATACCTTGCTCTATGCATCTCTTCCATTTGGCTGTTCCTGAGTTGTACCTTTTATATAAACCAGTAATAATAAGTAAAAGTGCTTTCCTGCCATTCTAGCCAAATTATCAAATTTGAGGAGGTGATCATGGGAACCCCCATTTTATAGGTGACAACCTGGAACTTGCAATTGGCCTTGAAGTGGGGAACTGAAACCTTAACCTGTGGGGTCTATGCTAATTCCAGATAGTTAGTATCAGAATTGGCTTGTAGGACCCCCAGTCAGTGTCTTTAAAGAATTAGAGAATTGCCTGGTGTGGAAAACCCACATATTTGGGGTCAGAAGTGTTTTAAGTAGAGAAGTAATCTTTTTTCTGTACTCTGAATGACTGCATCCTATTCTGTTGAAGCTTCCATGAAGCAATGTCCTGGGAGCCAGTACAGGGAGTTCAGCAAGGGATGTGGTGATGATGATGGGAAGCAACTGTCAGATCCTAAGCCAACTTGTGGTTCTATCTCTAGAATCCTGATTGTCTAGAAGTATCATAGGTCTTGATTCTTCATGTGTGTTTTACTTTCAGGTCAGGGTCTTAAAACCTCTTTGGATCCAATGTTCTGGGAAGGATTAGACAAAGATAGAGCCCATGTCTGGTATCAGATAGAATTGTGATCATATTAGAATCAGTTAAAATGAGTTTTCCACAATTAGAGTCATTAGGATATTGAGGATAACTATAAGTCAAACATCCCAGATGGAAACAAGACACCTTATAAGCAGTTGAATTTAGGAAAAGAAGTTACTGATATATAGGTATCTAAAGTTAAGGTGGTCCAGGGCTGTAGAGAGACATGGAGTTTGGACAGAAATCAGCATAACCGTCTGTGGTGATGTTTCCCTTTGGAAATGATGACTAGCTGTTTCCAGCTTGGCTTACTCTCTTCATGTGGTGTTCTTTCCCCTCCTCGCTTCATTTCCTTGTATTATTAGTGAGATGAACTGCCTGCTGTTGGGATTATAAGGTCCTTCAAGGTCAGGGAAGGACTCTGACTCAGGCATCTCCTCTCCCACTCCTGCTACTCTACCTCCAGCCTTATGCTGTGCCTTTTTTTTTTTTTTAAGTCTTTTTAATACAAGTTTAAAAAAGAGAATTTTGATTTTGTTTTTTTGTTTTTGTTTTTTTTGGTCTGTGTCCCTGGAAGATTTCACCTTTACTTGGAACAATTTTTTATCCCTCCCTTTTGTCTTTCACTTGATAGATACTTACTGAGGATTTACTATGTGCCTCGGTACATTGCTTGTGTTAAAAAACAAAATTCAGCTGAGTAAACTTGAAGATCCAATTGGCTTTATTCAATAATTCATGAATATAGCAGGTCTCATCTAGCAAATAGAAAGGAGCTCTGAGGAGTTGTATAAAATGGAAGGTTTTTATAGGCAGAAAGAGGGTGAGACAAGGAAGTTAAAAAAAGGATTATTTTAGGCAAGAAGCCCGGTGTCAGGATATACAGACTGGGACAGAGAAGGATGTAAAGTATATCTAGGAAGGCAAACAGAAAATATCCAACACAAGCAGTAAAAAAAAAAAAAAAAAAAAAAAAAAAATCACGCCCAGTTCTTGCATTCATAGCATTTATGTTATAGGAAAGCTATTTTTAAAAGGAGTTATGTACACCCTTGGGGGTACACAATGACTTTGCAGGAGATACACATGTATGGATAATGTTTTTAAAAGATTTTATTTATTTGAGGGGAAGAGAACAAGCTGGGGGTGGTGGCAGAAGGAGAGGGAGAAGAAGGGAGCCCAA